CTGTCGATGAGCACCACGCTTCAAAGCGACCAAGCGAGACTAAGGGAGGCACACAAAAAAACACCGCCACACGTGCCCACATGATGTTGGAAGAAGTGTCGGCCTACGCTTGAGCTGTTTAAAAGGTTGAGCTGCGGCAAGGAACGACGCGTTGTGCCGGTTGACGTGAGAAACAGGTCACAAACATAGGATACGCATGGATCATGGGCCAATTTCCACGTGCCATGGCAAAGCTGAAAACGACCAAAGGACGCAACCTCTTTGCAGTCCATTTGGGCAACCTCTCGCAGCTCACGGAGACCGACCGCCTGCAGACCACACATCGCACTTCGAGCCGAAGTTGTTGTCCCAGACCTGGCCGTTTTGGAACCTTGGCTCACCTCGACGTGACTGGACTGACTAAAGACCACGCACCGTGCGCAGTTCTCCGGTTCTCGTATTTTCAACATGGACCGGCAATTGCCCATCTTCACTCCAAGTTCTCCACCTCCTACTGCTCCGTGTAGTTTACGGTACCCTGCTTGGCATCCATTTTTCTCTTGGCATCATATATCTGTGCGACGCCCGAAACGCCCAGCTCATGCAAATGCGGGAAGAAACCCACATCAACACCCACAGAAGGAAACGACCCAAATGGGGAAAAACAAGGTAACCGATCATAACCAATCCATTTACACCACTGCAATGCACAGAAGGAAACATGTTTGCTTCAACCGGGAATCCTGATAGCTCCCCGCTTCGTCTTGCTAGCTCTCCTGCTCTAATCTCCTCTACTCGAGGGATCGAAGCCACAAAACCCGAACTCAGAAGGCCTCAGGAGCCATGGTCATAGGCGTGCCGCCGATCAACCTCGGACGTGGATAGCACGATGGTGGTGTTTTTTTAAACGCTCGGAAGCGATGCTGGAGACCACGGTGGTTTTTTACCCTTCGCCGCGCACAAGTGACAGAAGCATTGTGTGGAAGCTGTCACCAAAATCCGAAGGACACCCGAAACCGATGAAGACACAAAGCTCCTACCCTGTCTGTTTTTGAACACCTGGCGCACCGGGAACCGCCCCCCAACCATCGGTGCTTCTTCCCGCTGGGATCGGGCCGTGGGTCCGCGGAGTGGGTCCCCGCGCTTGCCATGGGGATCCGTGGGCGAAAACATCTCGGAGACCTGGTTTTCAGCCGCAGAAGCCGAGAGTCCCCGACGGCGGCGACGTCCGCGGTAGTGAAGAACCATCCATTTCAGAGAATTTAAACAAAAAAGAAAGAATCCTGTTCCTAGTAGCGAACATTGTTACTAGTAAAGCCAGGAGCCCCTAGTAGCTTCATGTTCCTAGTAGCGAACATTGTTTCATCCTACTAGATTCTTGCTACTAGTAGCTTCTAGCTTCGTTCGTAGCGATGCCCTTTGTTCAAATCCCAGGAGTCCGGTGATTGATTTGTTGCGTGGCTTGCACCTCTTGATTTCAAAACTGGGGCCGTTGTTGGAGCAGGCAGAAACCTGAAACCTGTGGTCGTGCCCAATGCCGTGCCCGGTTTCGCTTTCAAGAATTCACCATTGGTGCCATCTTCGAATATCTTGGACCACTCCAGCGTGCATTGTTCCTAGTAGCGATGCCAGGAGCCCCTAGTAGCGTCTTTGCTACCAGCATACAGGTACTGGGGCCTGAGGAGATTCAGTGAGAAGCGCTTGAATCAGTTGGAGTCTCGTGAGCTTGGGTAACCTGTTCCTGCGCCAATCCCTGTCTATCAAACTCCGGCTGCGTCACCCCATGTTCTTGAGCGAGGATAAAAGTAACAAGGACCCGCTTCCCACATGTTGCACAAAAGTGGTGATGTCATTCACCCTCTTGCACATTTCGAAGGGACAGCTTCTAAGCCGCCACCCTTCCCCCAAAACGTTCCACCTCAAAAACTACTCATAAGTGGACTTGACATATCTGGAAGGCCTATCTGAGTAAGGAATCTCCTGAGCATCATTCAGGTGTAGGGCCCTCACGCCCAGGTCGATGATCACGACGAAAGGCTCCGCACTCTCCTGCAAACTTGCACCCCCATCACGTGTTCCACGCGTGCACACCAGTGTAAGGGAGAATTACAAAGCAAGTAGAGCAAAGCGCATCTCTTCTCTCCTAGTTTTATGGAATGTTAAAGGAATTTCGAGGAGCAGTCTGCACAATTTGCATTAAAATGAGCATCAGAAGCCTCAAAAAACTCATGACACTGATTAAGACTGTGCGTTCATGTCATGAAAGCTTCAATTCCGCCAGAAATGCAAATGGTCAACACATGTGCAGTTTCTTCTTCCCTCTAACCTGAAAATACCACCGTGGCCCATCCGCCCTTTGAGCTTCCGAACCCCCTTGAGCAGCATGACGTTCTCATCCTTCAAATCCTGCGCAGCCGTAGAAAGAAAAGAAGGGAAGCGAAGGGGACGCTAAGAGAACACGAAAAGAACTCGTTCTTGGCCTTTTTGACTTCGTGTTTAATACTTTTGGATGTTGGAATGGGATGCGGGGCAAAGGCACAGTGAACTCTCAGGCTTTGTGTCAATGGCCCTGGAGCTCAAGAGCAAGAGTTTTGCCGGTTTGGACGACTTTGATGATGATAACTGACCTTGTGGATGATGCGCTTGTTGTGGCAATATGCCATGGCCTGCCAGCATCAAAGCAGCTGGATAGCGGACCTGGTATATTTGATTCTGAATGAATGTGCACGAACAAATTCTTTCACCTGCGCAAATCTTCTGGCGCTTCAAAACAGGTTGCGAGACAATGGACAAACATCTTATTAGTTCGGAAGACATGCATCACACCTCACCAAGGACAACTAGCTCCGAATCTCTCTGGCAAGTTGAGCCAACAAATCCCACATGGGTCTCCACGCCGTTGGGAAAACATGCAGCAACCATCACCAACCACATCGCCCACATCGCCCTGGCCATGCTTCAACAACTTCTTCCTCAGCAGAAACTTTAGCCGTTCTGCACCTCGTTACGAACATGGAGACCGTGAGTCTCTGGCATCCCAAAAGACGCTGAGCTGCAGCAGAAGAAAAGAAACAGCGCTGAGGAGCTGGTCTTTGAAGACCACAGCGCTGATCCTTCCTGATCATACATCTGGTGCCACAAGAGGTAGTGATGCGATGGTGGGAATCCATAAAAGCGTTCCTGTATGTTCCTGTCGTCTGAGGCTTCCTTCTGATTCATTCTCCTTTCGGTCCACAGCTTTAGCCCACCTCTTGAGATTTGCCAGACTTGCCACGCACGAAGGACCACTTCCACCCACCAACTGTGCTTCTCGATCCCGGAACAGCCACCGGACCGACCGAGCGCGGTGCGAATTCCCCCGAACATCCAACGCGGTGCGGGCCCGCTGTGGCTTGGCATCCTTTGTCCGGCCCTACACCCACCAGAATCGTCTCTCCACGGATTGGAACCTCTGGGGACTTCGGGAAGGCACAGAACGTCTATGCTTTGGGAAGGTTCTTTTGTCACCTCTGCACGTTCTCTTAGTAACAGCCTAGCAAGGCAGCAGGGCAGCAGGCCTTGAAGTATATTCAGACTCAGAGACCGCTGGCAGTGACCTGTTCTTCCGGCCTGGAGCATCTGCTGCAGCACTTGCCGACTCCAGGACTCCTCCACGGCTTCCCTCGAAACGCAGCGCGGGGGAGACGTCCGGACGACGCCGTGGGACGGTCTCAGGATGGGGTCCATCCGATGACAGGTTCTGAGTCTGGTTTTGTGTGACTTAAGAACGCCAAAACACATCCCTTATTTCCAACGATTTGTTGGCTCCAGATCCTACTGATGCCATGCAAGTTCCGCTGGTCAACACGAAACATTCTTCGCATCCTGTCCGAAGACTTTCCACCAACATCATTTTCGGCCAATTGATTTTCGAAAGAGCTACCAGCTACCCCGTCCCCGGCTCCCCCTCTGGGCGTCAAACCCACGGGACTGAAATCCCAGGAGGGCATCCCGCAGGGTGCCGCCCTGCCAAGAGTGGCGTGCCCATTGGCGCCGTTGGTTTCCCTTGGGCTGGGCAAAAATGACGCTTCGCCTTTTAAGGATGCAGTTCAAGGATTCAATCTTTATGGGATCTATCTTGACCCATCTTGACCTCAACATGTTGGATACTGTGGCTCCTCTTCTTCCTCTTCCTCTTCCTCCTCCTCTTCTTCTTCTTCTGCTAGACTTGCTAACCCAAATTCCTTGAACAAACACTTTTTGAGAAACTGTGGGAACAAGAAGCCGCCAGCCCAACCCCTGCAACCAAACCAAACGTCCTGACGGTGTCACTTCTGTGGTCAAGTTGATGAGCAAAATCATGCCAGAGACATTGCAAGGATCAACTTTCATTGGCCTTGATTGCATCCATGACCAAATAGATCTTGGATGACCTCAATGTCATGCAGCGTAAAACGTACTATACCGTAGAGGACATGATTCTGTAAGGTTATCGCTTTTGAGGGGCGCCTATTGCATTTGCAAGTTATACAGTAGCCCATTCCTGAATTTCACGACCGCTGTTTAGTAAACTTGAGAGAGGAGGGGGTGAACGAAAGGTAGCAGGCAATCACAAGCAACCCTGGTAAAAGTCCATGACGGCGTGAACCGGCGCAGGGGGGATTTGATCCGTGGCCCCCCCCCCCGACGAACAGAATCAACTCTTACAGGACCAAACTCAATGCACAATCCCAACTCCTGATTGTAATACATTTTTGCTAAAGCAAGGAGAGCTCAGGTAGCTCAAGCTACCTTTCGTGATTAGTCATTGCACGTTTTGGCGGTTGCTCATATCTTGGAGGAGGGGCCACAAGAAGTTAAGTGTCAATCCTGCAAGGAAGATGGTCGATGATGCGGATGACGCGCGCAGCCGTTCGACTTGGCCACCCCAACCCTTCATACCACTCATGGAGGCGAATGATGTGAGGGTGATCCACCCTCGGCTCAGGAAGGCGAAGGGCATAAATGATAGCTAGTAGCTTCAAAAACCACTCCGTTCGTAGCGATGCCCTTTGCTCCGTTCGTAGCGAACCTTGTTCAAGGCATTCTTAGGCCCTTGGACTTCACTGTTGGTACAGTGATAAGATCGGTTCCTCTTGATGATCCTCCACTGAAGGAGCAACAACATGTGAGAAAGTCTCAAGGTTGTATCAAACAACATCACTGTGTCAGCTTTGGATTAACATGTGTAAGATTCCCACGCGCTTTTGGCATCGCTCCTCTAGGCCAATTCATAGCTGAAAGTCTTTGGTCACACTGTGCGTGTGGGCATGCAACTCCGGTCATACAGATCTTCGGGCAAATCACGATCTACCAATGTTCATGCTTGAACTTGAAAGATCTTGAAACTAACACCCTCGAGTTCCTGTTGTGAGTGCGATTGGCCCAAACAAAGCTCTTGTTGACGGACTGCCTCTCTCCACAGGCTATTTTTGCCTCTGGACCTCCGCCATCAAGAGCTTGCAATGGGGCCGCCACATATTTCTTCTTACTGTCAGGTCAATAAGTTTGAGTTAGATTTACTTTATCTCAGCATCTTTGAGAAAAATTCTTTCTGAAACCAATTGGAAACACCACTACTCCGCTGCCCCACTGCTCCGCACTGCTCCGTTGCCGCTGGCTGCTTTGCGCCATTCCGTCCCAAGGTCCCTTGGACCGCCTCAGCCAGACCTTGGAGCAAACTTCTCTCCCTCATAGTGTGGAAACCCTTTGTGCCAAACAGAGTTGTCAAAGACTTCCATGAAGTCTAAGTATATATATATATGTTGCCAAGGCACTTGAAGAGGAGGATCGCCACCTGCAAACATCTCCGAAAAGAAAACCAAGGATATCCATGGATCCCAAGGCCGATAGGATCCAAGATGAAGAGATTCGGTGTTTGGCCAATTGTGGTAAACCCAAGTCGAGACTCTGAACGCAGGTTTCAAGGTGAACTACTGTCAAGCCGACTATCGAGTGTAGACATCATTTGTGCTTTAAACATGATAAACATTCAAAAAGTTCTGAGACGTTTCTTTTCAAGAGAAATGGCCGTCAGCATCTTCACCTACCAGGTCAGACCCTTTTGCCGCCTGCCAGACCCTTGCCTGCCCTACTGGACCCCTGCCTGCCCCAGGTAGAAATAGATGAAATGCTTCGTCTCGTGGGTGACGTAGGAGCCGAAGTTTCGCCCCACCACACAGTGCCAGGTGGGGTTGTACTTCCTGGCCGAACTCAAGACTTCACGGGCTGCGGCCCAGCTTTTCAGGCCAGCCATCCCTCACATGGCCATCGCGTGGCTCACTTGCCATGGCTTTGAAAACCAAAGATGTTGCAACCACTTGCAGCCACTTGCCACAGCCTGATGTAGCATTTTGGGGTGATATTCAGCTCTTGCAGCCAAGTGTCTTGTCAAACTCTTTCTTCATGAAAGCTGCGATGTCCTTCTCAATGTTGTACCTCAGAGTGCGACGATCTGCATTAGACGGAGCAAAAGGTGCTCATCAACTGAGGAAGGCGCTTCTCCAATGCCTGGGTCGCGCAGTCAATGGCATCTTGCTGCATGTCTTCGGCCATGTCAGCATTCTTGATGACGGCCTGGATTGGTTTGAGCGCCAGTTCCCAGCACCCATCTGCAGTGTCTGAGGAGGACTCACGCTCAGCTTTTTCAATGTACAGAGAAGTTAGCTGGCAAAAATGAAAACCTTGCCCCGTCTCATCACAGTGCTTCACGATATGGCTCAGCACTCATGAAGAGATCCCTGTAAGCGTGTGTTTGAAAGCCTTTCTACGCGCCTTGCGATCAGCCATAGCTGCGACAGGCTGGAAATGCTCAGGGCTTGAGGCTAGACAAACTGCAAGAAGTTGATGAATGTTGCAAACATCCTGTTCTATCCGTCCCATGCTTGACCTGGCTCCTTCTTCCCCGGCACTCAAGTTTCTTTTCATCGTTTCCGTGGTTTTCTGTCAAAAATACCTGCAGACTTTTGTCAGGTTGAACTGCCAAGCACTGCCAGGCACTGCCAGGCACCCAGCTGTCGAAGCACCATGATCTCCTTCTCGATGTCTTCGATCGGCAGCTTGGCCTGACGGATGGGCAGTACGGATGGGCAGGGCGACATCGGTGCTTCGGGATGGCCATCCCTCATCTTTGTCCCTTTTCGGACAGCTCTAGGAAGAGAAACATCTGGATATGACCTAACTAAACAGGTGCGCTGGCATTGATGTGGCAGGAGTAAGAATTGGATACAACTCATCCACCCGCTTTTCAAGTCAACAAACAAACATCACAACGCGACTTTCGAAAGCAACGCGATTGCAAACCTAACATGTGTTACAACATGAGCTAGTCAACCCGAAAACACATTCACCAGCTGCTGGCACCCTTGTCTTGCCTTGGATTTCTCTACAGTCTTGACCACACGATCCTGGAATAGCTGGCCATGAGGGAGACTGCTTCATTCATGATGTTTCTGCACACGGAGATTTGCAAATAATTACGAACCCCTCCCTGGCCAAATTGCAAGGAGTGCCTGCTCCGACACAAAAGTTCTAGCACATCTGAGAAGTCAGTCAACGTTTCATTGACACCATTCCCACAACTCTGGAGATAATCTCTAGACCCTTCACTTCCGGGAAAAGCTCCTCCTTGGTCCTCTTGTGCTTGGCCAAGTGGGCCGTTCCTTGATTTGGGTTGGAGCAGGGTGGAGCAAAATAGAACACACTCTGATTTTTTGGGGTCCCAGTCAACTTGAAACTATGATGCTGGAATAACTTCGATAATAACCCGAGTTCACGAGAAAAAAATAAAGTCTGTTACTACTAGTAGAAACAAGTGCATCGCTTCTAGTAACAGGTGCCTTACTAGTAGTA